TGTGACCGGTGCCGCTGTTGGAGCCCTCACAGACATTGCCCCTGCCTCCCCTTTGCGTGGGTATTCTGTATATTTAACAAGCGGCCAATAAACTTAGTACCCAAACCCTGCCATTTCGCCGCTGGCATGCTAGTGCCACGTGTGCATCGGGATGGAAATTGGTTACCTCCTGAATTAAACGTCTCTGCACTATTCCCCTCTCACTAAGCCTTGCACCTCTTTTCCTGTCATCATTTTAGACATTACCAGTAGCCATCAAAGTAAAGCCAGGCGTGACCCTGCCACCCTCCAGTTTTGCTTAGTGTTCCCTTCTTTTCTCACCTTTCATGGTGTTTTTTTGTTGTGTTGCTTCTTATGTTTTGTTTTTAACCCAGCTGGCTGCATTCATATTCAAGCCAATACTGCTTCAAGGAACATTTTACCGAGGCAGTGTTATCAAAGGCTTTGCTGAAGTCCAGACAGCTTATGTTCATGGCATTCTCCTCACTAATTTTGTAAATTCAGTCAGAGAAAGTATGCAGGTTTGTCTGATGTGATTTGTTCTCTGTAATTCTAGGCTGCTGCTTACTGCTCATAGATCTCTTCTGTGGTATTTTTTTTCCACCTCTTTATTCCATCATGTCACCAAGAACAGAAGTTACTCTGAAAGGGTGATAATTGCCAAGATCACTGCCTCCTCCCTGCTCCCCCTCAGAAGACAGGTATGGTGCTCGCTTTTCCTCAGTCCTCTGGCACCCTCCCTAGTTTGTCAAGATACTTCAAAAATAACCAAATCCTTGAGTTTGCTGTTGATTCCTGCACCCCACTAGGACAGTCATCATTGCGCTTCACTGAGAAACATGCTGTTTCTCTAACTAGTCCTTTATGTTGGTCTGAGCTGTCATGTTAACATTTTCATTACCTCTTAGTTCTCCAAGAAATTTTCTCAGAAAAGCAATACTAAATGAAGAAAAAGCAGTCATTAAGTAGATAAAATTTTTTCCTATTTCCAATGGCTTACTTCATTTAAGTCACTTTCTGCACACCAACCCTCCTGTAAAATCCTGTTCCTGTGTCTTTTTAACCCATTCTGTGGAAGTAAATCACCCTACTTTCCTGCAGTATCTTGTTTTCAGTGCCAGTTTCCTATTTCCAATACAGGGGTTTTCTTTTTACCCTCAGATCTGAGAGCCAATCCCTCCTAAAATCTAATCCTGTTTCACCACTGCAATCCTTTTTCATGCTTCAGGATATAAAACAGCTAAAAAATGTCTCGGTTAAAGAGAAACTCCCCTGATGGGAAGGTTATTCTGTAAACATCCACTTCAGAGCTTCTTACCCCTTCATTTCAAGCACTCAGTACTGGCTGCCTTTCCAGGCAGGATAACAAACTAGAAAACAATTGTGTACAAGAAACCCTGTGTTCAGATGTCCTGGGGAGATGGCAACAGACACCCACTCTAATTTCTTTTATTTTCCATTATTTTTCCCAACTAGTTCCCTGCTCTTTCTTTTGGTCAAAAAACTGTTTTGCAGCTGGTAGAAATTGTACTTCACTCATCCATTTTTTTGTTGTTTGCAACACTTCAAACCAAATTCCAGCAGATGTTGGCAGTGTTTGGCCTGAGTAAAGACTATAGACTGGTGCATAGGGTTGATTTTCTGAGAGAGGGATAGGGCAAAAGCAAAAGACAAGGTAAAGCTACTTTTGCAATTGCAAGAGTCACAGGAACTAAAAGGGCGCAGCAAAGGAGCATTTATGTGTACAGGAAAAATCAGAAAATTGGGAAGGGAGATGGAGGAATATAATGGGGCAATTGGGGTAATTTGGTTTTGAGCAGGTTATGGTATTTCTTCCCTGTCCAAGGTTCACTCTGACAGGGGACACTGATCATAAAATTTTGAGTCCTTGTCTACATTCAACTTCATCCCGCATTCCTGACAAATTATTTACTCTTTGTGCATTTGCAGGTTCCCTGTGTGGAGAAGAGGAACTGACCCATCTCCTCAGCTCTAGTTTTGCTTGTGAAATGCCCTAGGGATACAAAATGTTCAGCACTCTTACGCCAACTGGATTGTTATCTTTCACAGGGCTTTGTACATACGGTTTCTTTTGGCTGCCCAGAGGCTGCAGTCACCAGCGCTGAACTGTAGCTGGTCCGGCATGCGGGAGGGGAGGTGTTAGTGGTAAGGGAGGTTTTTGAGGAAAGCAGGAGAGGAGTCTGGGCTGGATGCAAGCAGTGCACGGTTGCAGTGCCTTTGCTCAGCTCCTTGTCAGGCAGGCTGTGGGAGAGGTACGGCCTGGGAGGACGGGGAGAGGAGAGGGGTCATTGCTCTACCCTAGCAAATGCACTGCCTGGTCCCATAGTGCTTCTCAGCAAAACCTTCCAGGGGTTAAAAGGAAAAAGAGAGACAGAAAGGGGACAAGAGACAAAGAGAGGAATAAAGTCAAAAAATGTGCCGTGAAGCTTCTTGCAGCAAAATGCGGAGAAAGTCATTTCCAACTTCTTTCATCTCAGAGATGAAGCCACTAAATAAAAGGGCAGCGCAGAACACAAGGGCTTTTAATCTGTCTCATCTCCTTCATAATAACTGCAAATTTTCCCTGGGCTCCTGGGAGTGAGCCTCTTTCCTCTGTCTTTGCCTTATCTCCCCCCTCCATATTTCACAGCCGGCTCGGCTCCCCTCACTCAGCTGCCCCCAGCCTGGTCTCCGAGAGGCCTGTGGGAGCCGCCAGCTCCCAGGGCCTCATTGTTCCCGGCTTGGGAGGAAGCTCAGGGAGGGAATTGAAGGCAAGTCAAAGGGAAACGGCATCACCGCTGCTTCATTAACAGGAACCTTTCAGCAGAAAACATATCAGAGCGAGGTCTTTTCAGAGGCAGTAATTAGCAATTTGGAGCCTTCCCCCCTCAGGAGATGCAGCTGCGATCTAACAAGTGGGAGCAGTGCTCGCCTCCTTTTACACTTCATATTTATTGTTTTTCATTTTCTCCATCTTCCTCCCATTGTCCAGCCTCCTCCTCACTTCCAGATAAGGGCCCTTTATTAATCACTCCCTTTTAATTCTTCATTAATGATAATAACTTTCTCTAGTGCGCGGAGAGGAGTTAATCTTTCCTGGGTATTGAGAAAGGACAGGGCTGAAAGGGAGGGAATGAAGAAGTGCATGGTGGACAAGGCTGTACTACTGCATCTCCCTCCCTCCCCACCACCCGGAAGGAGTTTCTGAAGACTGTGGCTGTCGAGCTGTGAGTTGCCCATTGGAAAGTCTCTGGGCTTACCGTTTGGTCAAGCTGTGTGGGTTTGGAGGGATGTACCCTGGCTCAGAGATACAGCCTTTACCAGAAGCAGGTATCCTCGGGCCAGAGGGAGATTTTCTCTGCGTGTCTTCACAAAAAAATCACCATGTCTTGGTATGACTAACAGATTGTGGCTATTCATCTTGTAAGAACACTCCTTCAGACACCTTCAAAGTGCCATTTCCCAACTGCTAACACTGCCCAAGCTTAAACAGCACCTAAATGTGGAAATAACTGGTATTTGGGAGGCTCTACAAATTACAAGATCCTCCTTGGTGCCTCCCCCTGGCAGCTGACACAGTCTCTGCCTTGGATTGCTCCCATCTAGAGGTACCAGTCCACCAACGTGGACAACTGTGTGAGGTGATTGCCACCAGGCTGGCTCAGCATGAGCAGCCCAGTGACAACAGATGGATGAAGATGGCAGGGGGAGGAGGCTGTCACACAGGCTGTGGCCATATCAGTGAATACCAGCCCCAAGAACATGGCTAGGGAGGACAGTGCTGCAACACACAAGACATTTACAGAACTTAGCTTCTCTTCCTAGAATTTTGTGCCACTGGCTTCATTGGAATCTGTGCTAGTAAAGGCTGTGCAACTGATCTTGCCTTCTAGTGGTTACTGTCACCAGAATAGGTGGCTCCACCTAT